GTTGCCTGGCAGTAGTGGAGCACTCCTTTAATTCCAGCACTCCAGAAGAAGAGGCCAGGAGGATCTCTGTTCAGAGATCGAGGCCAGCCTGGTCTACAGAGACTTCCAGGACAGGTTCCACGGCCACACAGAAACCCTGTCTCAAAAAACCAAATGAGAAAAAAAGACAAAGAAAAAAGAAAGGGTTACAATGTGGTGCTAGTCATCACATTAAAAACGTAATTCAGAGTATATTTAGTAATATCTGTAAATATAAAGATGTTCATGCAGTAACAATTAGTTTAAAACCTGCCTAGGAATTTGAAGGAGAGGTGGGATGGGAAGGTTTGCTAGGAGGAAAGAGAAAGAAGAAAGGTTCGAACAAAAATATGTTGCCAGAAATTGGCGATAGTACGAAGGTACAGCAGTATTTTCTTTATATCATTAAAAATCTTAAAAGCAAATACAAATCGAACCAGTGTTTCCTAAATTATACAAGTGAAAACTTCAAATACTCCAGGGAGTGCTGACAGCCAAACCAAATAAATACCAGCGAGTCAAGAAAGTGCCTGCAGCTTGGGGGCGGAGTTAAGGATCTCCATATGAATCATATCTCTTTTTGATACCGACTTCTTCTAGAGCCCTGGCTCCCATTATTCCCTGCCAAACGTGGGAAAAGTAGGTGGACAGAATAACCATGGACTTGGGCAGGATCGCTGGGACAGACCAAAATCCAGAGTGTATGACAGAGAAGCCCTCTCAGGCCAGCTCGTTCCCTGGGTAACCACGACTGGAGGAAGGACAGCAAGGAGGAAAAGGCAGTCCCAGACAGCAGCGCCTCACCAGAAGGCTGGTCCTTAGGAGCCACAGAAGTAACACACCCGGATCTTGCTAGCAGCAGATCGGAACTCTGCTCAATGAAGGAAGGGCGGACACTTGGGGAACACAGGGGCTCTAGCGCTATGCAGCAGGAATAGCCCCAAGGCTGCCACAGCCACCCCTGCTGTGAAGAATTTTCCGGTCTGCAGCTCACAGAGTACGGCAAATTGCATCAGAGCGTTTTGGCGTCTGGTTGGGACTTTTTCATGGCTTTGGCTGTCGCTGTGTCCACCCTGCACGTTGGACTAGAGGCCCGGCTTACTAACCACCGACTGGACCAGGTTCTCAAGACCGGACCAAACGGTGGAAGTCAGAGTGAGAAGATGTCACGCCGGCGTAGTCTCGGCCAAGCTACAAGCTTTAGCCAGGGCCATAGTCGCGCCATGAACGGAAAAGGACGGCGAAATGGAGACTGGGAGCCAAGCATAGAGGAAACGAAAACGAACTAAAACCATGGCGTCCTGACCGGACCTAGTGAACACTTGCAAAGAGGCTCAAACAGTTTCTTGCAGTGTTTGCTCACGTGGTCAGGATCGTGGTTCGTTCCTGCCTGGCAGATCCCCATTCCGGCCGCAAAGCGAAAGGACCGAATCAGGAAATCACGGACACAGTTTGAAATCACGGTCTGGTTGCAGCCCGGACCTGCTGACAGCCGATCAGAAGTCGGCTCTCTGGACGAATCCCGCACACTCTCGAACCGCGGAACACTGGCCGTGAAAACCTTTAGCTCTTTAGCTGTGCTCCAGGAACCTTGGCGAGCCTGCGTCGTCGCGCCACAGCGACCCCAGCGGTGAACAAGTGTCCCGCCTGCAGCTCGAAGGCAGTGTTGCGTTTGGTGTAGGAAGCTTGGTGTCATTGTCCCCCGTGGGAGTGGAGGCGGTCAGGCAGGCGTGGTCAGCTTTCTTGCCCCCCTTGGTACGGGCGGGTACTCGCAAAGGCCATAGCAGCGTCGAGACCACCAAAAGGAGTTCGAGATGGAGTAGGCGATCGGACACAGTGACGAATCAAGCGTTGGACCGTGATGTCCCAGAAAAACCTTCTGTACAACGATAGGAAAGGAACGCGGGCGCCACGGAATTTCGGTGGTGCAAACGCCATCTTCCAGGCGGCCGCGGTTGTATGTCTCGGACACTTGCCTGGCCAAAACGTGCCTTTGCCGATGTCAGTCGGTACTGAATCTGCTAACCAAAGAAATCCGATGAATTTTCAGCGTTTATAAACAACGAAGAGCCGAGCGTATAGGACGCGAAATCGAAACGAAACTGCGGCGTTCTGACCGCATCTGTGGCACACTCGTTTCTTGCAGTGTTTCGATCACGTTATGGTGATCGTGGTTGGTGATTTGTGTCATATCCCACGACAGCCTGTCTGACAGAGCTGGATTCCAGCCGCAAAAATCAAAGCACCGGGTCAGAAAAACAAGAAAGTGGATAGAATTTGCGATCGGAGTGCACCCCTTAACTTCTGTCAGCGAAACGGAAGTCGGCTGGGAGGTGGAATAGTGGACAGGTGCCTGTTACGGGGTGGCAAAACCGCTAAAGCTGCTGCGGTGCCCAGGGAATCACCACTTAGCTCAGCTCTGGCGCCACAGCGACCTCTGCAGTGAAGAAGAGTTCGTCTGCAGACTGGAGGTGGAGCTGATTACTGTGTCAGAAGGCTTCTTGTTGGGACTTCTTCATTGGCCTCTTTGCAAGCGAGAAGGGCGGTAGCCAAGTCGCGACTTGAAAAAGGATAGCGAGAGGGAGTAAGCCATCGTAGACAGTGCAGTACTCGAGCCCTGGACAGAGCTCTCTCCTAAACTGTAGGCTCAACAAAAGGAACACTGTTGCAACTGAGATTTGATTGTGCAACACCGGCGCACCGGGAGTGGAGGGGGGTTTGGGGGGAGTGGGAGGGGCGTAAGACACGTACTTGCCTAGAGGATTATAGAGTGAATAACCCATATTCTATAGGAAAGAACGAAGGTTCCGAGCGAACCATTTAATTGTGTTCATAAATTTACATAGAATTTTGAAATAGATGTAACTGATTTTTTTAAAGGCTATCAAATAATCCGACAATATGGCAGTTGGCATCAACAGATGTAGACCATGGCATAATGACCTAGAGCAGCTTGTTGAATACATTTGAAAATATAGTCATACCAGAAAAATCACTACTGTTCTGATTAATGCAAATATGTCATGATTTCAAGATGATGGTGTCTACTTTGGGGAATTATATTATGACAGACAGTTCAATTTACAGTCTCAACCACTAGTTATTACATTTAATATATGTGTTCAACAATAACTCCTGCAGGTGAGCACTGTGAAATATTAAAGAATGTTGGCATCATTATAGTTTACCATAGCAAGACTTTGGAAAGAAGAATCAAGTTTCATAAATCGATCATGTAGTAGAAATCTAGTAGAATCATTTCATGTAGGGTAAATATTAAATGAAATAGTTCTTTTTTTCTTTTACTGTATGTAGGGTAAGCATAGAATGAAGTATTGTTTTCCTTAAACTCTTAGATGTTGGAATCATTGTGGGAAAACAGTGATTGTTTTCTGTGATTTATAGAGTTGTTTTTCTGAAGTTTTGCAGCCTTTGCATGACTTTAGTCACAAGACAATCCTACCATACCAGGAACAGCTTGCATGATTGGGTTCTGCAAATAGTACACAATACCGGCTAACTTTGTAGGGGGAAAGGTATTTTCCTTCAGAAAACATATAGTTTAGATTAGGGGCATTGTTATGAGGAACTTGTTTTACCCAAAGAAACCAACCTTTGTGTAGCAATCAACAAATAGGCTTCTGAAAGGCTGTTGAAAGTTCAGTTCCTCAAAACCGTCCCTTCCTGCTACTGCAGAGTCTGAAGTACCTCTTAGGGTGACTCTGTTTCTTTGATTATGCCGATAATATGGAACACAACAAGATCAGACCCTGTGGAATTATTATAGTGCATTGAGTGTGTGACATGCTAAAAGCATGCTTTGACTGCACTTGGCATCACATCCCTTTAATTCCAATTACTTTGGAGAAGGGTGGAGGTGGGTGGAGAGATCTCCAGCAGCCCATGCAGCATAGCAAGCCGGCATTTCAAGAAAAAGCTCAGAGAGAAAAATGGTGGATGTATTGGGGTTGATAGAGAGAAGTGGGCAGCTGGGGCATGGGGTGGATCTAATTAAAACATGTTATTTGCATGTATGAAAAGTTTTTAAAATAAATAAGACAGGACAAGGAGTCTTTAGACAGGCTTGGTGGCATAAGGCTTTACTTTTTTTTTAATTTTCATGGTTGCTGGGAATTGAACTCAGGACCTCTGGAAGAGCAGTCAGCAGCCAATGCTCCTAACCTCTGAGCCATCTCTCCAGCCCCCAAGCCTTTAATTTCAGCACTTGGGAGGCAGAGGTATGCATATTTGCTGTGGAATAATCCTCTTGTACACTGTAAAGATTTGGCACCCAAATTGGTTTAATAGAACACTGATTGTCCAATAGCCAGGCAGCCAAACTAAGGATGATAGGAAGGAAAATGGGGGAAGTCATGAGTCACCAGCCAGATGCAGAGGGATCAGGAGTTGAACATGCCATGCTAATAAAGGTAATTCCATGTAAATAAGGAATATGGGTTAACTTAAAATGTAAGAGCTAGTTAGTAATAAGCCTGAGCTATTGGCCTGTAGGACATTAAGGCCTACAAGGCCAAGACAGAGAGAGATGAGCCAACTTGGAGTCTACCTGGTGCTGTCTGAGGGTCTAGCAACAGTCACCGTCAGAGGTCCTGATTATGCCTAGCCAATGAGGGTCAACCATGCAATGCCAGCAGATAGGAATGCTGGGGTTCTGGGAGGGAATATAAAATCCATCCCCCCCATGCTAAATAATGAGTCTGCTGTTTCTTTTCATCTGACTCTGGTGTTCATTGACACCACACCTTCTCACCCTGTCCCCTGAGGGAACTGTTAGGACCCAGCTATATAAGCAAGCATTTATAATTAATTTAAGCCTCTGAGAGGAAATTGGGGAGCAGCTACTGGAACAAAGAGTGGGCAGTTGGTACAAAAAGCAATATTTATACAGATCTGCGGGTATCTGGCCAGCCACTGCTCTACTTAATGAGACCCTATTCTAAACAAACAAACAAACAAACAAACAAACATAACAGCCTGCATTTTAATGGTATAATAGAAGAAGACAGAATTCAAAGATTATTGTGGGCTTAAGCATGTTTTTTAAGTTGAATAAAACAAGTTAATGAATGCATATCAATAAAAATGCCACTAATTTAGACAAAGGCCACTATTCTAGTTTTATAACTATGATTTTGACTTTGGGGATTTTTTTTCAGCAATAACTCTGAATTAGTGCATTTGTGAAAGCAGAGATAGCAAGGAGTTTTATTCAGTAAAGGTACCTGCAGCCAATTCTGAAGACCTAGGTTTGGAAATCACCCTCTGACTTCTACACTCTGGCTATGGCACTTGCTTTCCCATACAAATATACTAAATGCATAAATAAAGCCAGGTGTGGTGGCTCACCCTTTAACCATGTGGATCTCTCAGAGTTCTAGACAAGCCTTGGCTAAGTAGTGAGAGTGAGACAGACAGGGCTATATAGAGACTCTGCCTCAAAAATCCAAAGGAAACAATAAAAAGAAAGGATTAAATCCCATTAGGACAGTTGTCTTCAAATTCTTCATGTCAAAAGGGCCAACTTCTTATTTGTGTCTGTAAGAAAAAGAAAAAAGCACAATGAAAATTCTGTTTTTTTGTTTGTTTTACTTTGGCACATAAGCACATGAAGCCAGAGAAAAATCATTGCTTTGAATCTGTGTTGCTAGACTCTGACACCCTGACTAAAAAAATAAAATAAACAAGTGATAGAACAGCAAAAGTTTTTGGGTAGACGATCCCAGATGAAAGCAGTTACTGTAGGGGCAAGGCAGTACCTTGGAGCAGGAACAAACATCTCTCTCTCTTGAGGATCAGTTTCTCTCTTGATGATAGGGACTGACTTTTTCAGATCATCTTGCAGAAGCAAACCTGAGACAATGAGCAAGGAAACCACACCTTGATTACAACTGTTCAACTATGAGACTCTGTCTCAGGTTCACACACACACAAAAAAAAAAAAAAAAAAAAAAAAAAAGAAAGAAAGAAAAAAAGTTAGGTGTATTTCTGAAATAAAATTAATAGAAATTAATCTTACAAAAGATTTTAATGAACATTACTTAGACTTATTTTGATTAACATGAAGCATTTTTATGCCTTTTATTTTTATGTTAGCGATGAATTTTACACAGTGTAATAAATTATAACTAATAATTTTCCCCCTTAGAACTTGCCTTGGAATGAGATCTTTATCAAGATCTATGCATCCTTAGTCAGTTGGTGGGACAAACTTTAAAGGCAGATCTCTGAGTTCCAGGAACTGAAATCCTAAAGTAATTAGAAAGTTTTATTTTCCCCTCTTTGAGATGTCAAAGAGTCTGGTGATCCAAAAGACAAAACTTTAATGAAATTTGTCATGAGGACTTAAGGAAATTCAATTTTCTTTTTCTAAAAGATGCATTTGGGAGATGTTAGAATTAATATATCATTTTCTCCTTCCCTTTCCTCCCTTCAAACCTTCGCAAATATCCTCTTTGCTCCTTTGCTAATTTATGTGCTCTCTTCTTTGTTGTTACAAACAAAAACACTCTCTCTCTCTCTCTCTCTCTCTCTCTCTCTCTCTCTCCACACACACACACACACACACACACACACCTAAGTGCAAGCTGTTTAGTCCGTATAATGGCACTGTATGTATGCTTTCCGAATAATCCATATACTGTTTCTTGTATGTGCATTGTCAAAACTGAGCACTTGGCATTTGATAAGCAATTGCTGTACCAAGACTTAAGCGATAGCTCTAAGCTACAACTCCCAATCCTAAGGCTCAGAGATCTTTGCTGAAGACAGGCTGGAAGGTTTAGGGGCAAGAGGGACAGGACATTTGCTGTGGGATTGAGTCTCCTAGGACTGTCAGAAGCTCCCCATAAAGACTCACCAGCAGGATGGCTTAAACAAGAGCCAAACAAGGACAACAATAGACATTCTGACATGCTTGTGGGGAACCCCAGGTGGCCTCAACCCTACAGAAAGAGCTACAGGCAACTAAAGAGTGGTGAGAGCCTAGACATGCTTTCTTTTTCTGTTTTTAGGAGTTAAACAGCAGAGGGGGAAATGTCTTTCCTAACTCACTGTGGCCAAAGCTTTTGCTCTTCAACTACAATGAAAGTAAGCCGAATTTTCTGGGCTGTCATGTGCATCTGAAAACAAGAAGAACCGAAGAAAGGAAATGACCTAGGACATTAGTTTTACTTCTTCTGGATCAGAACCCACCATTTGGGCTCTCTGTTAACAATCCGGGAAAAGCTGTATTAGTATTGCCCTTCTAGTGGTATCCATCAGTCTTTTATTTGTAGTCTTCCTGGTGGTGGAGGGGCCGGGTCTGATGAATTGGTTAACTTGTTTGGCTTAAAAAGTTCGTTTGCCGGACGGAACTCTGAACAAAATCGGTAAATGAAAGAAATCGGAGGAGTTTTCGAATATGCCTGGCAGAGCCTGATTCAGGGGGTAAATAAAACCACCATGGAACAAAATCCTGTTTGCGGTTTGAAATCACCGTTGAATTTCAGTCCAGGGCTGCTGAGATATGAACATATCTTGGCTCGCTAGGAGAACGAATTGCGGAGGTTTGCCGAAAGCGGGCGGGGAAAACCAAAAGTGCCGGCTACAAATCGCTTGGAGGTGAAGGGCTGGGCAGCGTCCCCTGAAGTGAAGAAGAGGCCCGAAGAAGAGGCCGGCCTGCAGCTCTGCTGTAGATCTGCTTCTAGAAGGATTTAGGCTTCTAGCTAGGACCTCTTCTTTGGCCCCGTCTCCTTCTGTGCTCATCCACGAGCTTGAACAAGCAGATAGGCCGATTAACCATAAACTTTCCCAGGAATGCGGGGCTGTACTATCCCCGGAGGGGCCAGTGAGCTGCTGTCAGGCAGGCATTGGCAAATGCACGGGAGGCCATAGCTACATACACTTGCCTGACTGAAAACGTGCGACCGCAGTCAGAGCGATCTCCACAAACGAAAGAAATCGAAAGAACTTTCAGCGTTTAGAAACGAGGGCGAGCTGAGCATAGCGGACGCGAAACAAACTGAAACCGCGCATTCCGGACCGGTCTTGTGCACACTGGCACCGAGGGGTCAGCCTTTTCTTGCAGCATTTGCTCACATCGTCCTGGCAGAGCCTATTATGGCCGCAAAACGAAAGGACCGAAGCAGAAAATCACGGAAACGGATGGAAATTGCGGACGGATTGCAGCCCACCGCCTACTGACAGCAGATCAGAAGTCGGCTCCACGGACGACTCACGGAACTTGGGGATCACGGATTACAGATCCGGAAAACTGCAGCATAGGACGGCTAAAATGGGATGAATGCTGGCTCCACAGCCATCCCTGTGATGAAGAAGCCTCCATCTTACAGCTCCCAAGCCGAGAAGGGCACCTGAGACCAAGGTGTTTTGACTTAACCAATGGACTTCCTCATTGGCTCCTGCTCTGCCCACCGACCAGTAGGGAAAGGAGGGAGGGTTTAGTAATTGCACACCTGCAGACGACTTCAAGGCTGGTTCAAACCTTGAGTTTGGGCCTAAGAGATCGTCAGGGTACATTGTCGTGGTTGTCTCCTGGAGTTGTATTCCACACGGAGGAGGTCCTTGTGTGTCGTTCAGTAAAAGGACCAGTTGCAAGCCAGGTGTTTAGACGTGAAGCCGACCTAGGCACTCGTTTGGTGATCTGTACAGGGCACGAACTTGAATGTGTAGGCGCGTCTTTAGCAGCTGAGTTTGACTGAGTGTTTGTGCCAACACCGAACTAGAGGGAAATACCAGAGTCCAGCTCAGCCTCACTCTGAGGTGCCCAAGAAAGTGGGCAGGTTTATCTGTCTGAGAGAAGTGGAATGGGTGGCATCCTTCTCAGGCTGAGATTCAGAAAGCCTCAGTCTCAAAGGAAAATACAGCTGCTGGCACCAGGAAAGAAACTGTGGGCCAAAGGTCCTGGTTAAAACCTGGAGAAACCGAGGGTCTAGCTGAGGACAGTAGTGGTGTCCTGCTGCTAGGTGCTCTAGGCTGTTCTAGTCAACTCCAGAATGTTCCATAGCCAAATACTGAGGTTGTCTTGGACTTGTGAAGACTATGAATGGGGTGGGATTGGGTGTTGGCTTGAGGGTGGGGTTCTACCTGAGCAAAAGAGAAAGCAAGAAAAATGATGAATGTCTGCTATGATGAATGACTGATTCTTGGACGTAGCAAGCCCCATCTAGTCCGCATAAAGTTATCTCAACTACCACCAGAGCCCCCAAATCAGTTCCTTCTACCTCTGTAGTGCCAGAGCCGGGATTCCTGCACCAGTATAGGCAAAGCGTAAAGTAAACCCGTATTCTGGTTTCCAGACATGAGGCAGGACAGCCGGAAACTAAAGCAATCAAACGAAATTTCGGTGCTGGGAAGATTCGGAGAGCTGAGAGCGTGCAAAAACAGATGGAAACCGCTACAGTAGCCTCACTGAGGGTTTGCACTACGTCCTTTTGCAGCATGCCCACTTGAGCCAGAGCCTGGCCGGCAGCAGAAGAAAAGCACGAAGGAACCAAATCACGTGCAGGCTTTCACATCACTGCGGGTTTCTAATGGAGGTAGAGGTCAGCCCATGGGAACTTAGCTCCAATGGCAAATCAAGGCAACTGGTGGAATGAGATGGGTTGGCCTCAAAGCTCTGGGTAACTTCGAAAGGACTAATGATCCAGATTCGCTGCTGTGTCCACTATGATCACAAGGTCTCCAGCCACAGCTGGGAGGCAGAGCTACTCAGAACCGGAACCCTTCTGGCTTCTGGTTCGGACTGTTCCTTGCACTCTGGCTCTTCCTATGGCATCTCACCAGGGACAGCTAACAGAGGACCTAGGATGCAAGTAGGGAAACCAGGGTTCTTGAGGAACAAAGGGAGTTGTGTGTGTGCTCTGCTACTGCTCTAGAAGGGGCCTGGCTTGTGCTCTGCCCAGGAAGGGCTTCTTAGAAGACACTGGGTGTACAGCTTAAAGGTCCTGCTGCAACTGAATGCTGGGTCTTGCAAGCTGTGTAAGATGTGAGACAATGTCCAGTGGATGTCATCTGGTATGCTACAGGAGGTTGATGTCCCCAAGGAGACAGTAGCTGTGTGACAGGAACTCTGTTGCTCTCAGCGGCTGGAATCTCGAAGGATACAGCCAACATCGCTTTGATTCCCTGCACTGTGTAATTTCAGACAACCAGAAGCACAAGGAAACAGCCATGTTGCAACTGAAACCTGGTGCAAACATTTTCTGCGATCGAGAACTGGATAGTCAGCGGCTTTCTGACAGTGGAATTGGACTTGCTGGAACCTACTATGGCATGCCTTCATCTCTTGAGAAGGACCAGTAGCTTGTTTCTACTTAAAACCTAGTGTGTAAACTGGGCTGGGCATGGTGGGGCACACCTTGATCTCTGCACTCAGAAGCCTGAGGCAGATCTCTGAGTTTGAGGCCAGCTTGGTCTACAGAGAGATTTTTAAGACAGCCAGGGTACTGCTGCCCTGAGACTCAGCCTCCAGCAGAGCAGGGCTGGAAGGGAAGACTTTTTTTTTTTTTTTTTTTTATCTGAGAGGGTAAGTGAAAAGACTCACACACTCTTGATGCTTTTCTTCTTTTTCTTTATTTTTCTTCTATATTCTGCTCTTTATTTTTTCCTCTACAGCTCATGTGTTCCACAAAATCCTCAGGCTATATAAAAAATTACCATGTGGTTACATTCTTTTTTTTCAAAAGAATGAGTATAATGAATACAGGAAAATAGCACGTTTTTAATTTCCCTTACATGACTGAATATTTTATGTATTACAGGTGAAAAACAAGTTGTCCCAAGAACCCACATATATTCATGTCCAAGCAACCTTTTTATAGATGAACAGAGTGCAAACAAGCAGGGTACTTCTCTCAGACACTTCTTTTACTGGCTGGCTGCATATTGCACTTACAAAGAAAGGACCGATCAGTTTATTACTTTTGAAAGGTAATCTATAAGGGATCTTGAAAGACTCACAAACAGAAAATGTATAAATCCTCACAGAGTATATCCAGTCATCAACAGTTTTTCATACCAGGGAGCTGAGAGTAGACATAGGCACACAGAATTAATCATTGACTTTGATCTCCAACAAATCTGAGCAATAAAGGTACATAAGGTAGTAATAATTGGGCTGCCTTGTTTTTGATCCCTGACCTTAATGAGCCCATGAGCAGCTAAGTGTCCTTGTGAACTTGAATTGTTTTGTAAGACTTTTTCATTTCAAAGCTCTTTGACAAAAACATCTTAGTCTAACCTCAAGTCATTTTCAAAGCTTTGTTTCAGCTATGATGCATTCCAAAATCTGTGAACAGGTCTCCTAACATCAAGATTAAAAGAATGTAAATAATCTGGACTATTGGGACTTGATTGTTTTTGTTAATCATTAATATAAGCCACAGTCTATACAGATCCTCAAACTCTTGTGTTCTAGCCCTGTGATGCTTCCCTGTTTTATCAGAGGCAGCAGCAACATTTTATTCTACCTTTACGTATATTAATTTTTCCACTTAACTAATATCCATCATAATTTCTTACTATATTTATTAAAAACCCTCAACCATCAAAATTCTTTCTAAACTAACACTACTATTATATAAAATCACTGCTTCAGTAAACAGTACGGTTTAGGAGGAAATCATCTTCATAATAATCCACAGGTAAAAATTGCCAGTAGAATGGGATATTTCTTTTCTTTTCCCCAAGACAGGCTTTCAATGTATAACAGCCCTAGGTGTTCTGGAACTAGTTCAAGGCTGGCCTCCAACTCACAGTGATCCACCTGCATTTGCCTCCTGAGTACTGGGGTTAAAAAGGTGTGCACCACCATTGCCCAGAGACAATGGGATATTTCAAAGAGATGGTGTCTCGTGCATTTAATCTCATCGATCAGGAGGTAGAGAAGGTTTATTTTTGTGAGTTTGAGGCCAGGATGGTCTACAAAGTGAGTTCATGAACAGCCTGTGTCTGTGATGGCTATTCTTGGTTGGCAAGTTGAGAGATATGTATGGAATTGAAGGACATACCTGAGAGGTAGTTTTGCCTACAGTAGGAAGATCCGTTTACAATCCAGATGTTTGAGGTATGAAGACAACATCAAAGCAGATCTTTTGAGCTGGGACAACACAACTTTTAATCCAGACATGCCTGTAATGCAGATCTCCAGCAGGAAGACATACATTTAAACCTGGGCAACACATTCTGCTGGAAGTGTATAAAAGAACATGAAGAAGGAAGTTTTTTCACTTAGCCTGAGAACTCTCACCTTGCTAGCAAGTATATTACTTCACTAGCATCAGAGCTTACTTCCTAAGGATTCCAGGGATTACTGAAGACCTGCTGAGATATCCATTTTAATAGACTGAGCAACTTCTGGCTTCTCGGACTTTCAGATCATAGTCAGCCATTGTTAAATAAGCTGGATCACAGCCTGTAAGTAAGATGACTTTATAAATTCTATTCCTCTAGAGCACATTGACTTGAAAGAACAAATGAAAAATGACTTCCAAGATAAAACACACATTCTCTAAATCAGGCATCCCAAGTAGACCTCCCCATACTTTAGTGCTTTCTCCATTAGTCCTGTATAATGTTTAACTCTAGATAATCTTATCAGGGATGATAAGATTTTACCATCACAATCTTTACTATATTTTGTTTTGTTTTCATATTTTGATTGTTTTTTAAGATAGGATTTCCCTGTCTTTCTCTGTTGCTGTCCTGGAACTAGCTCTGTAGATCAGGCTGGTCTGGAACTCAGAGATCCATCTGCCCCCTGGCTAATTCCCCAGTGGGATTAAAGGCATACAGCACCAGGATCTTCAGAGTTTACCTCCTATTTAATGCAAACAACTGATGGGGTTATGAAGTTACATTCTAGCATCCTGAAGAGTACCGGTTGGGAGGGGCCTAGAAGTTAGAGGATAAAAAGTTAATTGACTTCTCAATCAGAGGTTCCAGGAGTTGCTGTCTGTGTTACATTGGTGAAGCCAAGACAACAGAACTGGTCTGCCCCTGTTTTTGTGGAAGACATGTCAGATTCTTCACAGCACACACCAGGAAGTCCACACTTCCTGTCAACCCTGAGTCCATGGTATTCCCAAATCTTGGCCACCGTGTTTCTGGGCAGAGCCAAGCCACTGCTTTGAGAATGGCTGTTCTGTTGATTGGGAACTGTTTCCCCTTCCCTGTGGACTTAGTAGCTGGGATTGCTTGAGACATCATCCTAGAATGAACTATGCCAGGAAGTGGGGTGCAGAGGTTTTCCAACGTGAGAAACAGAAGGAGCTCCAGATGTCCCCAGGAGAGGTGGACCAGGAGAAAGACAGAGAAATGAACCCTGGCGGGGCCTGCTCAGCATGTTGGAGAAAGAACTGGAACCTGAGATCTGTTATGGTGGAGACTGCCCTGATCATGATCCT